CCAGTTTCTTTATTTCCTACTTTGCCAATTTTTCACCTGTAAAACCTCCTGGTGCTGTTTTTTTGTTTTCGTCAAAGCATGCCCCTGTATATTCACCCAATATATTCACCCAAGACAGTGAATAGAATTAGTCCAAAAAGTCTGTGAGCTCAGTCTTGAAACGTTGCAAATGGAAGATAAGCCTGGTTTTGGCTACCAGTAGAACTCTGTAAGTGATCTATTTTGTAATTAATATAGAATACAGAGGGTTTTGCATAGTGCTGAAATGGTAATCACTGTCATGCAATATTTAGGTAAGGATTTTACAGGCATATAAGTATGTGGGTTTGCATTGTACCCTGTCACTCTGAAGCTGTTTCAGGCTTGCTGTGCAAGCACACCGAAACAAAATATTTACATTTCTTTTTACTGAACAATAGTTTCCAGTCTTCAACTGTTCTCTCCAGAGCAGGCTGTGTGCTAGTCATCGTAAGGCCTTAGCTAGACCATCTGAGGAATTTTTTTGATGTCCTGAAAATAACGGGATCAGTTTTATTGTGGTTGTGCGGGTGCATGCAATGGGCAGGAGTGCTACAGAAATGCACAGAAAAAGAGCAAGGAAGCCCATCAGCCTGAGGACCGCTGGCAATGTGGCCCTGAGAAAGAGGTGCTTGAAATTGTGAGGAAAGAAACTGTCTCCTGCTGTTTGTTTCCAACTGCGTTTGGGGAAACAGCATATAGTATACGTGGTTTGTAAATAAATAAGGTTGCATTGAATAAATATGCCTATCAACAATTCGAGGCATAACACACAAGACATCAAAAATCAGCTAATTGTTTCTATCGATGTTTACTGACAAAGTTTATAGCAGTATCTTAGAAAGTCCTCAGTGAAAGTGAATGGAGAAATAATGCATTGATGAAACTGAACTAAAACTACATGGCAAGTCTGCTTTTCAGTCTGGAGCCCTAAGTGAAAATTATGTATTTCTAGTAGCATTGAGCATTTTGTTTGTTTTGTGTTTTCTAGTCAGAACAAAACCTTGACAGTTACTGAATCATAAGAAAAGCCTAGGATGGAAGGGAGCTCTGAGAATCATCTGCCCCAAGCTCCTGTTGAAAGCCGGACCTTAACTGAGATTCTCAGGGGCCTGTCAAGCCTGGTGATTGCCAGGGGGTTCCCCAGCTTTTCTGGGCAACCTGTTCAAAGTTTGGTTGTTCTCATGGTGAAGAATTTCTCCATTTACCTGGATGGGTTTCCCCTGAAGCAGCTTGTGCCTATTGCCTTTTTTCACAGGGCATCTTTCTGAAGAGAATCTCCATCATCTTTATAACAACCATTTAAGTGTTGGAAGACTGTATTCAACTCCCAGATGTCTCTTCTCCGTGCTGGACAAACCCAATTCTTTCAACCTTTCTTCATCCGTCAAGTTCTCCGGTCCTCTAATCATCTTGATGGCCCTCTGCTTGACCCTCTCTAATTTCTGAATGTCTCTTTTGAGCTAGAAGGACCCAGACTGGGCACAGTATTCCACATGTGGCCTAATAAGTGCTGGGGAGAATGGAAGTACTACATCCTTTGGTCTGGTGGCAGCAGGCAACACCATCTTCCTTCATGGCTGCAAAAGCACCAGGCTGGCTCACATTCAGCTTGTGATCCACCGGTACTCCCGGGTCCTTTTACCCCTGATAATACTATTTCATTTTTGACTACATATAATGAAAGCAAAGCACAGAAGTGCACAAAGCTTCAGGAAGAAAAGGGAGGTGCTCTCCTTATTTTACCCTGAAGCCCAATGACTTCAGCACTCACCCGCACTCTGGGAGACCTGGGTTCAGTTCTTTCCTTCTTTTGAAGAGTTGGACCCGTGTTGCTCACAACCCTGAGCAGTGCCCTTGGGAGGAGGCTGTAACAAGCCACAACATATTCTTGGGTTCTTTCGAACTCCCCTGTTGCCACGGTGATATTTTTGTTTAATATACTTTTGATGTTTCTTAGACTAGGGACTACAGGTGTCATACCTCCTCGGGGGTTATTTGTCGTCTGTGCTCTCTTCTCTCTGTTTGCTTTGGTTCAGAAAAGCAAAAGTCCAGAGAAATTCCCCAAAACTTGAGAGGAGAAACTGTGTTTGCCCAGCTCCAGTGTGATCCTTACGACATACTAGGTCTTTGTGTTTGGTTTCTCTCCTTTGATGTGAATGAACTTGCCTGGAGTTAAGTGATTAGTCATGACTTGAATGGCTTCATCTTGGTAGTGCTGGTGAGTAAGTAGGGGCTACCTGAATTTATTTTTTTTTTTTCTTTCAAAGGTACTTATTGTAATATTTTTTTGTTTTGAACACGGTGATACTTGGGCCTTTTAATTCTTTTTGTACCTCATATAGCTTTATCTATACTATACAGTATGGTAACTTGTGGTGGGATAAAAAATCTGTTTGTTTTGTTTTAGAGAAGCCAGAAAATATCTAAAAATATTTCCAAGTACCACAGTTTTTTAACAAAAGTGACTTGGGCATAATGTTTGATGTACTGGGTAATAAAAAGTTGATCAATATTCATTGCTACTCTTGTTTTATTTTGGAATCTGAGTGCCAGAATGAAAACAACCCCAAAACAAAACCACCGCCATTAACACTGGCAGTTTACTTGCACAATAAAAAATTGTGCAGTGGACTTCTCATTATATGGCACTTGCAGATATCAAAGTATGAAAAACAAGGATAATTTTAATTTAGTTAGAATATTAAAGGGAAATAATATTTCCATAGTACTTTTAAAAGATTTTTTTTAAATAATCATTTCAAAAATTTGAAATGAGGATAATTAATATGGAGTTTCTAGTGTAGCATGAAAATGGCACAAATTTCCATCCATCTAACAGCAAAGCAGAATGTGTGACTGGTGGGCATTTGGTACAGGTACAGAGGGGACAAATTCTGGTGCAATGGAGAGCACCACTTTCTAGGACTTGTCTACAGTGTGTGAGGAAAAGATGCATTGCCATCAATAAATCCCGAATGAGGACTTCTTCTGAACATCATTAGGAAAAAGAACACCTAAAATTTCCTAAAGATCTGATCTCAGGAAAATCTGAAGGATACCATAAGATGGAAATGTCTGTATCGAGCATGAGATAAATCAGTGTTGGACTTTCTGATGCGCTGAGCAGTGTCAGCCACTGACGGCCAAAAACTCGTGGTTACTGCAGTACCTTCTATTTTGTGGAAACAGACTTTGGCACAAGGCAGTATTATGCGAAACAGAAAATCGACCGGTTCTTCAGAACATCTTGTTTCCCTAACTGAGTGCTAAAAGGGGAAGTTTTAATGGAAAATGGGCCTTCTCAAGGAAATCCTGCTGGGTATTCTAAAGGCTACGCTTTAATGAGCACACAAGTAAGTTACCTTGGAGAGGAAAGCTAGCCTAGTAAAGAAGGCACAAAGGTGATAATTAAACAAGAAATCAATATGTTAAGTATGGAAAAGGGGGGCATAACCGGGAATGAAAATTGAATCTACAAAATGTAAATGACTTTTAGGGAAGATAAATGTAATAAGGAATTATTACTGGCCAGTAGAGCTTAAGACAATAAGAAGGTATTACAGATGTATTAGGAACAAAAGAACAACTAAATCAAGTAGAGATTTCAGTCTTGCAGAAAAAGACAGAACAGATCCAATGGCTGGATATCAAAGCTTGAAAATCCAATCATTATAAAGATGCAGTGAGGGCGATTACACATAGGAATAATTTCCCGGTGTAGGTAGGTGGTAAGCTTGCCATTGCTAGGAATTTAATCCAATTGGATACACTTTAATCTGACTTTGGGAACAGCCTTGTGGGTGTCTCTGTGGATGGCTGCAGAGGTCATTTCTTCTATGCAATCTGTACATCTGCGAATTTATATTTGTTCTTCGTCACTCCCTTCTTTCATAAGCCTTGGAGGAAAACAGAGCTCTCATTGCCTGCAACGCGTTCCACACGCTCAGCTCTGCGTTAAGATAATGACTGAAAAAAAAATGTCTCGTGCTTCAGGGTTACAGCTGGCTGCCTGCAGAAGGCAAGAGGCTGATTCCCTAGGTTAATTCTGGACTTTTTAAATTTCATTTTTCTCTGAAGCCTTAGGGGTGGGCGTAGCTGATCATAAAACCTTGGAGAGATGGGGCCAGTTCTCTGCAGTGGAGTCCTCTCTTTTAGGTAGCTGCCGTCTCCCAGCTGGCTGGGGGGTCAGACGGTTTCTTCCCGAAGCCAGGGTAGCAAGGACGCTGAGGTCTTTTTGCTTTCCTCTTCATTATGTCATCTAGGCATATCTGAGATCGTAATTACGATCATTTGGGCATATCTCATATAATCAACTCGCTATCGTTACTGGAGCCTGGGGCAGAGGCATCGCAGCCTTTTTTTGGCATTCATATTAGCTTAATTTCTTCAAGATTGAATGTATATTTTTTTATGCATAACCCAACTCACTGGGGAAGGCAGCGGTAAACGAGTGAAGCGCCATGTCACATCTGAGACAGCAGGCTGCCTGTTCTGGTTTAAATTCTACCGATTCATAAAGATCTTGCCTTAATTTTGCTGCAGCAGGAGTTATAGGTGGCAAATACCCTGTCTTTTTTCCAAAAGGGGCTGATCTGATGCCAGTCGTGGTGCTTGACGGAGCTGCGGAGCTGCCACGCAGGCTGCTCGAGGGCTAACAAAGGCTTTGCTGTGCTTGCGGCACAGCGTCGCCTCCCCGTCCGGCTTTCCTTCTGCAGCCCTCCCCACCTTCTGCTGGAAAAAAAACCCTGCCTCTCCGAAGCAGAAAATAAGAAACCTTCCTAATATTACAGTACCGGAGAGGGAGGATGCAATAGCTTTTCTGATTGCTTTGGTTCTGCTGAATTGCAAATGGCAGCGAGCGGAAGGAGGGATGTCAGGAGTTACTGGCAGCCGGGTTATCTAGCGTCATCTCCTAAGAGGCAAATGGGTCTGCCGGTGTTCTGCCTGGTGGCCCTGCTGGCAGGTGGCTCTGGTCTTACGCTACTCTCTGTTGCACACGTGTGGAAGTACTCGCTGGCTTCACGACAATCCTCCTTTCCATACGGGAAACTGAGGCTGTCAACAGACATCCCGCCACGTTGTGAAAAGAGACCCGCTGTTTCATCAACATCAGCATGTTTTCTTCTCAAGCGGGTGAAGGAAAGACAGCCTTCATTTTACGTGAGCCATTACATATTCTTTTTGTGGGTCCAATGGAGGGACACTTTTTCAATTGCTCCTTCTTGTGTGCAAGTGGAACTGGCGGCTGCTTATGTAAATACACATATTGGCTTCTCACCTAAGCTTCTCACCTTACATATCAACTATTGTGTGGTTTATCATATCTCATTGGTTTGCATCACATATAAATTGGCTTATGATATCTATATGGCTAATCATACATCGTGAGCTTCTCCTGTACCCCTCATTTAGCATTTAATGCCTATCAGTAGCTCTTCGTGCTTGTACAGGGGTTTGTACACAGCAGCTGCAAGCAAAGCTGAATTGGAGACAGGTGGATTGAGAGATGAACAGTTCCAGATCATTCCTTGAATGGCAGAACTAATGAGGACTGGTTTGCTCTTGGTTTGTATCTCTTGAGGTGTGATATGTCATGTTCGTCATACTGAAGTGCCCTCTACCATGGTATCTTCCAATCTTTCTGTGTCCCCATAGTGACTTCCCCTCAGCTCCTCCGCCACGCTGTTGCACTTTGGGCTTTTTTCCATGGCTTTTAGCTACTGCTGCTTGGCTGATGACTGCGAATGACCCACCAGACACTGTTCTGGAGATACATGTGTGCAAGGTGGGCAACCTGTACGTGTCCAGCATGGTCAGCAGCTGCTACCAGCTGACCCTAATCAACTGCCCTTCTCCTCTGCTGGCAATAAAATTAATGACTTTGGGAGCTGCCTTCCATGATGCGCGGAATGTTGTACAGGTCTGTCGTAAGATCTTACTATTTTAAAAACGACGACGCTGTTCACTGTGGTTGAAGCTGAACAGACATGACAGAGAGCCAGTGTGATGCACGCAAGCTTCATTTCCTCAGGAAGCCAAGCTAAAAAAAAAAAAAAAAAAAAAAAATCTGCCTAGGAAAATTTTCAACTAACATTTGAGAAGCTTGCCGTTAATTATCAAAATGAAGAAGCAGTGTGCCAACGCAGTGTTGATTCAAACCATCAGAATCAATCTCTCAATAAATAGACCTGCTGAAAAAAAATACGTAAAACACATCAGACTTCCGTGCTGTGTGACATCCCCTTTTAGCTTCTGTATCTAGCCTTGTCCTAACAGCCTCCAACCCTAAAAATCACCCTCCCTTACCCAAACCCTACAGGATACACAGAACTTAACAGAGGCATTTTATTCCTAAGGTGTCAGAGAACCTCTCTCTTTAAGGCTGTTTATCCAGACCGAGTAAACCGAACTAGGTCAGCCTGAATTAGGGTGACGTTCTTCGGAGTGGCCGCGTTCCTGGTGCTGATGGGGCTCAGCATCTCCAGAGCAGCGCTGCTGGGCGAGCTCTCCCGCCAGCCCTCCCGATCAGCTTTTGTTGCTGACAGAGCTGCCCTGTGACAAATGTATCTGCAGACACTTTGCAGAGTGGTTTGGGATTCACTGATGCAAAAAGATGAAGAAGTAAAAATACGCATTTCTTGTATTGCTGTTTGTACTGCTGTAAAGTCAGTGTTTTTAAAGGCTCTAAAGTTTCTGGACATGGATTTTGGATTTATTCTGAGAACTAGCCTTCTGGTGTTTATTCCCTTGCCGTCTACCTTCTGAAGGCCAGTCGGGAACTTATTTTGGGGTAACCCGGGCCTTCCTGCACTTACTCGTTTGTTGTAAATGCAGTTTATGATTTATACAGAATGTGGTTCATCTACCCTGTGACTAGGAAGCATTAAAAGAAAGCATTCAGTCATAGTTTATGCATCTGGTGATGCGGACTGGGATTTTTAAAAGAACCCAGAAGAATTAGGCATTCAAATTTCATTAAAATGCTGTGGAAGTGAAGCATATAAACTCTATTAAAAAGCTCAGTCATTATAACTCCTGTTTTTTCTCCTGTTTAATTTGTGCGTAAGCTTGCTTAGGGGGGGAGAGTGGCCGGGGCGGGTTCTGCACACCTCGCCTTCTCCTTAGTGCTGAGCCTTAGAGCTGGAGCACGCTGCAGCTTTCTCACCTCTTCCATTTTTAACTGCAGCTTCGTGTACCCATCTGACTACTGATTTTATAATGGAAACCTTATTTTCATAACCAAATGAATGTAAGTGTCTAAGCAATAAAAATGTTGATATAAAGAGTTTGGTGAATATGATGCTGAAAATATATTATCCATATATATGACATCCTGGGAGTGATTTGTACTTTTTCACACTCTGAAATGTTCGGGGAGACAAAGCTGAATAAAAGTCAGTTCAGGAAATAAAAATTGTACTGCTGAACATAAAAGAATTAGATATATTGCTTTTAAATAAAATGTAATGTGACTAAAGGTTACATGTAATATACTGTCAGATGTCCACTAGAACACAAAAGCTTCCTCTGTATGCAAAAATCAGTAAAGTGCAATATGATAAATATAATGAAGAACACGATGAGAGATCAACAGTCAGATGAAGAAGAGTAAGTAGGGAGCAGAGTTTGTTCTGAAGTGGGAAGGGGTTGCTGTAGCAGTACAGAATATGCTTGCTGGAGGAAGGAGTTAATAATTGTGCCAGCAATGTTCAGCCCCTATTTGTTGCAAGAGAGAATTAATGGCTTTCCTGCCTGATGCTGAAAATAGAAGCCAAATTTAAGTTGTTTCTTGAAGGCAGATATAATTAGATCATGAAACTTCAGGCTTTTGGGTCTAAATAATAGGATAAGAATGGCCACACTAAATCAGAGCAGGGCATGGTCTCTTAACTGTTTCTTAGGGGTGAGAATAGGACAAGCACAGAGTGATATTTTCCCCAATTTCCAGCTGTGCACAATGCACATACCACTTAAAGTGTAGATTTAAGTGCATTATATATTTATTAGACCTTGCTGAATCCTTTCTCTATAGATTGTTCTAATTATTTACTTAACCCTCTTATATTTTTGTTAGCCACAACATTCTGGTAGCAATAAACTATGCAGTGTAGCTATGGATTTTATGAAAAAATATTTCTGTTTGATTTAAATGGTAATATTTGGTGTCTGTTAGGCTTCCGATAAGAGAAATAGTGAACAATTGTTCCTTACTTACTATCTATGCTATTCTCAATTTTATACACAGTTATCATGTTCCTCTTGGTCATCTCTTTTCCAAGTTGAAAAGTACTTTCATCCATCCTCCTACAGTTACAGTAGTACACTGCTATTGATCTATGTTGTCCAGCATATGCCATTCCTACTTCTAATAAACTTTTGGACATGGGTCAATCAGACCTAGGTGAATTATTCTGGACGTGGATGCATTCTGGGTTTCTACGGTGTTATAATATTTTGTCATTTGATTTTTCATCCTTACATAATGATTTGTAACATTTAGTTTGCATTTTCTGTCTGCCAGTGAGCACTGGACAGATGTTTTCAGAGAGGTCTCAACAAGGAGTCTGAGATTCTTCCTGAAGTGATGATAAATAATTTATTTATTGTTTATCACTGTGTATGTGCAGTTAGGTTTTTTTTCCCCATGTGTATTACTTTGCATCTATCGATGTTAAATAATGTCGACACTTTTGTTGCTGAATCACTCAGTGTTCAGTATGATGACACCTCTTGAAATATTGACTGTTCTGAGTAACTTGTATCATCAGCGAACTTTGCCATCTCATTATTATTTCCCTTTTCCAGATAGTTTATGAATATACTGAAGAGAGCAAGTTCAAGTGCAGATCCCTGATCGCTTCTCTCCCATGGCAAAAACAATTTATTACTACGCTCCAACACATCATTAATCTACTAAAGAATTTTCATCCTTCTGATAACTTAGTTTCTTTAAGAGCCTTTAGAGAGAGATCTTGTCAAAACACTTTGACTCCTGGAAATCCAAGAACATTATAGCAATCCGCGTTCCCAAGCTGGCTGCCTTCTTTAAAGAACTATTAATGTCATCAATTTTGTCAAGTAACAGTAAATTGAAAAGCCCAAATTTAGTCTGATTTCTCCTTCTGCAAATACTGCATTATTTGTATACTAAGAATATCTCCAAGTACTTTCATTATTAGTACCAAGGCCTCTAGCACTTAGTGACAATTTCTGCAGAAAAGTTATTACTATGCTGCCAGAAACTCCAGAGTGAGGTGCAGGTTTTCATTGACCCTGAATGGAGCATGGTTTCTTTGCGATAGAAGTCTTCTATTTATTTTCCATCAAATGGCATATCCCTGAAGCAACAGCGAGGGAATGAAAGTTACATTTTGTCACAGCAGCATTTGCAGAAAAGTGAACTGCTAAAGTCCCTATTCATAACGAAACTTGGGCCAGCCATGAGTTCCTAAAGAGCTTACCTGCAGGTGCTTAATTTTTTTTATTGAAAAATTTATATCGGAGCTTTATGAACTTCTGATTAAACTTTTAAAATAAATTAAGGGTGAGAAGATTAGACGGGGGATTGGAAATGAACCGTGGTATCTTTTGCCTCTAGCTCAGCATTTTGAAGGCAACCCAAATGAGATGTGACAAAGTGCAGTGTGCTCTTTTCTTTTTGCTGACCTATGGGTAAGTGGAGTTTGGTCTCTGCCAAGTTCTTTGTGTGTGAATGGCCACGTCACTATCCCTGCTACTGTAATTAGCACTAATTAGCCCTTTATTGGAATTTAAAATAAGTAGGCCATGATTTAGATATCACAGAGACTAAATTATCCGCTTAGATGATCCACCTGGACTAGATGAACAGCCTGCTCCCCCCAGACCTCCCCTTTGCCACTATTTGACAGAAGTTATGTAGGTATGTTTTAAGTGGCAGATATGTCCAGCTCCCATGTTGTGCCCTGTTTGAAATTTAAACTATAAAATCCTGTCGAAGGACAGTTCCTGAGTGTGAGCTGAATGAAGTTGTGTTTTAGTCTGTTATGGGTCTTAGTTGCTGTTGGACATTTCCCTCCTGGCCTCTTTG